TATAAAATCGTGTTTGATATCGATTAAAATCTAAGTTTTAATCTAAATCAAAATTAACAATTAATTTTAATAATATATTTCATGGAATCTATAACTGTTTAACTTTTATCAAAATTTACTAAAAAATTGATTTTAATTTTCACCAAATAGGGGCAAAATCACAATAAATTTAAATTTCGATAACATGCTAATTTTAAAAATTCTCCGACGATCGTACGCTAATCGAATCTACAAATTATTTATATCATCTCAAAACTTATTTCGAGAACTATATTATGGGCATATCTAATAGTCCAAACAGATATCGAAAATAGTTAAAAATACGTTAAATGTGAGTCTTAAAGAAAGACGTCTAACTCGCATTTTTTTTTAAAAAAATTCAATTATTTCATTAACATTTATTATTTTTACGATACAAATTTCTCAACGTAATTTTTATCATTTTATTAGGAAATTTTATATGGAATATAATATCAAAAAATTTTGAAATTTTACATCCGAAAAAGTTATATCCCATGTAAATTTTTGGATCTAAAATTACACGGGGTATGATTTTTTTGGACGTAAATTTTCGATTGTAAAATTTCTCCCAACTTCTTTGCAAGTTTGATTGTGCCCCCTAACTTTAAAGCTTTACGTCCGGCCCAGCCAATACATGATAGTTGCTGAAATCGCCGCCTCAACGGCTGTAGTAGGAGGCAGTGACGTTCAGGGTCCGCCTCGATGCCCACTAACAGAGGTCACCATGTATCGCATAAGGTCAACCAGGCCTTGGAGAGAGAGAGTCTGGTTGGAAAATTTCATCGAGCAATTGGATTGCACTTTTACTACTAAGAGTTCTTTTATAAAACCGCAAATGCTCTGGACCATAAAAATCAGGCAGTTGTAAATATCATTTTGCAGCTGGTGGAGGTTACCTCGATGGCTTCTGCCGGAGACTGCAGGATGTCTCGACGGTGTCGCCGGAGGCGACAGTGACCTCGATAAAGCTGGCAATTGGATCCCGGGGATAATATTCCCTATCGCAACTAGAAGGTGGAAGTCGGGTTAGTGGCTTTCGGTGGTAGCCTCAACACTCATTGCTGAGAGCTTTGATAGTCTCGGCAATCGGGATCCAAGCTGCAGCCATTGCTCCTTTTTCTTATTTGATTTAGGCTCCATTACAACTTGGTTTGAGTGACCAAAAATCAAAATGACACCGTGGTGCTCTTGGTTTCACATTTTCCCTGATTTTCCTTTTGCATTTTCTTCTTTATAAATTCCTTCCTGGACTGGATGTCGGAGGCTCTCCGTCCAATGTTTTCCTCCGGTCACCTCTAATTTCAATCCGGTGGTTCCTTTTTCTCTTATGTGTCTAATAGTTCAGATTTGCTTCTGATTTTTCCATCTTTTGTGCCGGATCCCCCAGCTTTCATCTTTTTTTTATTCCAGCAGCACATACTTTTTTAGATCTACCTTTTCAAGCCCTAAACATGTTATTCTATTCAATGATGGTGCGTGGTCTCATCTTAACGAGCGAGCATCAACCTCATAAACGTCACCTCCATTGTCTTGGCCCTTGTATGAGTTGGTATTAAATGATCTACCCTATAAAAAGTTGACTAAGCCCCTGTTTGGCCCTCATTGTTTGGCATTTTTGATAGTTGAAAATTTTTGGAATAGTAATTGATAGGATAATGTGTGGTGAAAAAGTAATGAAAAGTTTTAAATTTGTGTGTAATATTATTTTATTTGATGAATGTGTGGTAGTAATGAAGAGAGAAAAAAATTTAATGTAATGTAATTTAATTTAATGGGGACCAAACAGGAGCTAAAAGGCATTTGCTACAAATATGTCAAATCAATTAATCGTACAAAGAATCTCTTTCATGAGACAAATCTATGAAAGATTCCTTGTGAAATGAAGGCTCATAGCTTCGAAAATACGATTGTAATGATTCGCCTCGAACATGGAGGTTAGGCCTCCACACATCTTGTTGGGTCGACTGGGACATTTAGCTCACTTCGGCTTCCTTTGTTCATGGCTTCGATTAGGCCGGGTGAGGAAAGTAATGTAGATTGCCGGCCTTAGGTGGATTCTTGTTGATTCCTTAATTGGCTGTAATGTTGCCAATAATAAGAGCCTTGTACGACGAGGCATAATAGTTACTAAAAAATGTGAAGAAGAAAGTTCACTTAATTGATTAAATTCATTGCATAGATTCACTTAGCCACCGAAATAAACGAACATTTTATTCACTTATTTCTATTGTAAGCTAGAGAGACAATGGATCTAGACCCATAAGTTATTTTCTCATCAAACTGTCATGTAGGTTCACCAAATGTTTAATTGTCGTAACTATGAGAAAAAGAAAAATAGAATGGCTATGCGAATAAAAAACACATTGGATGGTTGGGTGATTCAATTGTACAGAATTTTAGTCATGTCCTCTTGAAATGTAAAAGAATATTGTTAAAATTCCTAGTTTATATTATTTATTTGCTTGCTGTCAAATTATATGCAAAGTTGATCCTTAGCTTTTGATCTTGTAGAACTAACAGGAAGAAAAGAATAAAGTGCAGTCATAAAAATACGAAAGTGACAATAATGAGTTTGGAGAAAGTTACAAGCAACATTGTAAAGTTAATTAATTTGGTACGAAAGGAATCGAATAATTTGATTAGCAAGTTATCCTCAGTGCCAAAAGTTGCACTATAAAACTATGTCTCGTTCTCATTATAATATATCAACATAAAACACAAGGCTTTTGTCTCT